AGAACTTTTCAGTCCATGATCATTGTATGGGCATTCTTTTTGTTCAGTAAAATCAAATCAGCTAACATTTGTATATCTCAGTATTTGCAAAGCAGTTTCCTATCTATGATTCTTTAAAGCAGTTTTTTAAAACAACCTTTTATTCTTTCCTCTTGACTTTATGGTCTTAGCTTGATTTTATAGTTTTAGATTCTTGACTTTGTAGTCTTTTTTGGCTTTGTGTTTAATCCTTTTTGTGTCCTGTTTTAAAACTCATTGCCACTCCAAGGTGATAAAGATGTTTTCCCATGTTTTCTTTTAAAAGTTACATCATTTTACCTTTCACATTTAGATCTGCAGTACATCTGGAAATTATTTTTGTATGAGAAGTGTGACTTGGGGTCCAGATTCATTTATTTCCCATGTAAATATCCAGTTGATCCAGTACCCTTTATTGAAAAGACCATCCTTCCCATACTACATTGCAGGGTCATATTTGACATAAATCAGGTGCCTGTAAATGTTAGTTTGTTCTTGAGGTCCTGTTCTATTTGTCTACCTTTTTCTCATTATGCATTGTGTTTCTTCCTCCTTTTTATGCCTGGTAATCTTTGATTAGATGCCAGACACTCTGCTTTTTACCTTATTAGGTGCTGGGTATCTTTCGTATTACCATAAATGGTCTTGAATTTTGTTCTTGGATTCAGTTAAGTTACTTTGACATAGTTTGATTTTTTTTCCAGCTTTAAGGTCTAATTAAAATATAACATTGTATTTACCTAAGGTATACAATGTGTTGATTTAATACACTTACATATTGTAAAATGATTACCACCATAGTATTAGCTAAAACTCGCATCCTGTCTTATAATGAATTACCATTTCCTTTTGTGGTGAAAACATTTAAGAGCTACTCTCTTAGCAATTTTTAAGTGTATAGTACAGTATTATTAGCTATAGTCATCATGCAGTACATTAGATCTTCAGAACTTGTTAATCGTATAACTGGAAGCTTATAGGTTTTGACCAGTATCTCTCCATTTCCCCAACCCCCAGACCCTGGTAACCATAACCCTGTTCTGTTTCTTTGAGTTCAGCTTTTTTAGATTCCATGTATATGTGTTACACAGTACTTCTCTTTCTCTGACTTATTTCACTTAGCCTAATGCCCTCAAGGTTCATCCAAGTTGTTGCGAAAATGAAAATTTCCTTCTTTCTTATGGCTAAATAATACTCTCTTGTTTGTATACTTATAGATATCGATGTAGATAACATCTTTGTCCTTTCTTCTGTTGATGGACCTTTAGGTTGTTGTCGTATCTTGGCTATTGTGAATAATGCTGCAGTAAACATGGGGATATCTTAGTGATATCCTTGTTGAGATTTTGTTTTCATTTCCTTTGGATATATGCCCAGAAGTAGAAGTGCTGGATCATATGGTAGTTATATTTTTAATACTTTGAGGAACTGCCATACTGTTTTCCATAGTGGCTGTACCAATGTACATTCCCACCAACAGTGCACAAGGGTTCCCCTTTTCTCCACACCCTTGCCAACATTCTGCCAACAATTCTGTTGATCACTTACCTTTTTGATGCTAGCCATTCTTCATGAATGAGGTGATATTTCATTGTGCTTTTGATTTGCCAGTCTTGAGCATCATTTCATGTACCTATTGGTAGCTTTATGTATGTTGCTTTTGTATTCTGAAAATTACTGAATTCATTGATTATTCTAGCAGTTTTTACTGGAGTCTTTAGAATTTTCTATATGAAGATTTTATCATCTGCATACAAAGACAGTTTTCTATCTTTCCTATTTGAATGCCTTTTATTTCTTTTTTCTTGTCTGAGCTTTTTTCTTGTCATAGTACTTGTAATACTACATTGAATAAGAGTAGTGAGAATGGGCACTGTTGTCTTTTTCCTGATCTTAGAGGAAAAGCATTAAGCCTCTCAACTCTGAGTATGATGTTGGCTGTGTGTTTGTCATGTATGGCTTTTATTGTGTTGAGATGAGTTCCTTCTGTACTTGTTTCTTAATGTAGGTGTTTCTTGCTATAAACTTTCCTCTTGGAATTGCTCTTGAAATTAGCTGAATCCCATAAGTTTTGGCATATGTGTTTCAAGATTTTTAAAATTTACCTTTTGACTTTTTCTCTGCCCCATTAGTTGTTTAGGAGTGTATTTATGTTGTTTAATTTCCACTATTTGTGAATTTCCATTTTTCCTCCTGTTACTGATTTCTAGTTTTATACCTTTGTGGTCAGAAAAGATACTTCATATGATTTAAATTTGTTAAATAAAAGTGAGGCTTGTTTTGTGACCTGTCCTGAAGAATGTTCTGTGTGTCTTGAGGAGAATGTGTATTCTGCTGCTCTTAGATGGAATGTTCTGTATATGTTGTTAAATCCATTTCGTCTCAAGTGTAGTTGAAGTCCAGCTTTTCTGTATTGATTTCCTGTCTGGATGATCTATCCATTGTTGAAAGTGGAATATTGAAGTCTCCTACTATTATTGTATTGTTGCCTGTTTCTCCCAGTAGATCTGTTAGTATTTGCTTAATATATTTAGGTGCTCTGATGTTGCATGCATATATATTTACAATTGCTATATCCTCTTGATGAATTAGAATTAGCCCTTTATTATTACATAATGATCTTTGTCTCTTCTTAAAGTTTTTGGCTTGAAGTCTGTTTTTCTGATCTAAGTGTAACTACCTATACTCTCTTTCTCCATTTTACTCTTTACTTCTGCTTGGGTTTTTATTATTTCTTTGCTATTCATATGTAAGCTTTGTTTTTGTAAAGGTAAGAACAAAAATCCAATCAAGATCCATTTCCTTTTGTGTTTTACTAGAAACATAGAAACTAAAAACATAACCACAAAAACGAAATTTACAAAGTCATACAAAATGTAAGCTACAATTTATTGCTATTTAATTCAACAGATAAAATTAACTCATTTCTGTATTTTAGCTTGTCATAATGTATCATCCACAGACCAAACTTTCAGTAGCATTGGTATAGACTGCCTTCAACTAATTTTTTGTTTTGTCTTCGAGGTTCTTTTTGAGGTATTTTCCCCTTTTTACCTTTATAATTTAGAATTTCCTTTAGTGGATGTTCTGGTTGCAAATTCTTAGTTTCATTTGTCTAAAGGCATCTTTATTTTATTTAGAGTCTTGTAGACAATTATTTTCCTTTAGTATGTTGTAAATATCTTTTCATCATTTTTGTGAGAAGTCACCTATTTAATTTTTGTTAAGAGCCAACTGCATGTATCCTTATTTAAAGTGGTCTTGAATAATCTAATCTGCTTCTATTTTTTCCTATAGGGAATACAGTGAGTAACCTGATTATGATTATACCTCCAATTTTTGGTGCAATCCAGAGTATTAGAGATGGACTGGAAAAGCGGTACATTGCTTCTTATTTAGCACTCACAGGTAGGTGTAACACTTCATCTAAAATATGATATACCATATTCAGATGGGCTGCTTTTCTCATTCATTCCTATAATTGGCTCTCAATTTTGTGTTATTACACAACTTAAACACATTCTGGAACTTCTGTATTAAAATTCCACAAATCTTATTAGTAAATTGAACTGCATTTTGAATAAATTTTTTTTAAATCACAAAATATTTTAAGCATACAGAAGAGACTATAGATAACATAGCCATGTGTCTTACCACCCAGTTTACACCTAATGCTTTACAGTATTTGTTTCAATCTTACTTTTTCTTTTTAAAAAAATAAGCTACTGTAGGTAAAATTGAAGCTGCCTTTATATTCCTGCCTACTTTAATTCCCCTCATCCTTCCAGCTTACCCTTCCAGAGTTGACTTCTGTACTGAATTTGATTATCATTTTCTTACAGTTTTTGTATTTATATTACATATATATGTAAATTTAATGTAAATGTGGTTCACAAATTTTTTTAACTTTTTGTAAAGGATGCTGTAACATACCTAACCTTCTGCAACTTACTCAAATTCGTCTACTTTCTTTGAGCAGGGACTGTGTCTTGGTTATCTTTGTATCTCTATTGTCTGGCAATTTTTGGTTCTCAATAAGTGCTGGATGGATGGATGAATGAATGCTAACAGAGCCTAAGATGGGAAAATGACCCATCATATTCTTATATTATCATTATAAAGATAAAAATAGCAAAGAAAGTGGATTCTAGTTTGTTTCTTTAATATTGCTTTCTAAACTGTGCACAATTTCTTTTTCTTCAGCTCAAGGTAGGTATTATTTACACATGGGCAGAAGGGACTCCTAATTACCACAAAACTGTTAGCTGTAGCATATCATATTATTTAGTATATCATACCATAAATAGATTGATCTTTAGATATGAGAGACTTTAATTTCTGAATTGGTTTCTCATGGGCATGATGTTTTAAGAAAGTTACTTGGAAAACTTGTGCACAAACTTAGCCCTTTCCTTTATTCCCTGAGATGTTCTAAGAATGTTTATGAGAGACAGAGGGGAAAAAGATGGCGGCATGAGAAGAGAGGCAGAAACCTCCTCCCAGAACCACTTAAAACATGAAAATATAGCAAATACAGCTAATCCTGAAAGAGCAACCCAAAGACTGCAGAACAGACTGCCTACTTCTAGAGAAAGGAGAAGATCTCACAGAAAAGTGTAAAGTAGCAAAGACTCGATCTGGCGGGACCCAAGCCCTCCCCCCACCCCATCTCACAGGGAGGAGGAAGAGAAACAGAGTGGGGAGGGAGTAGAAGCCCATGACTGTTAACACCCACCCCTGGAGATCTGCTCTGGGAACATGAACCCACATTACCTGGTGCTCTGGAGATTAGAAGGATTGGAAAGCAAAGAACAGGCAGAATACTCAGAGAGACTGAGATTCTAGTCACTTGTGGAGAACAGGTAGCCACAACTGGCCGCTCTGGGACAAAAGAAAGGCATGCATGTTGAAAGACTTCCCAACAGCAAGAGAGGTGCTAAAGGGTCTAGGATTATGCAGAGCTTGATGCTCAGAAGAAAGGACAGGTGGACAAAGTTGTGCTGGCACACTCAGCCCAGCAGGTTGGGAACTTTCAGGAGCTTCAGCTATTCCATTGCACTGGCTGACAGTGCAGCACAGAGGCCCCCTACTGTAATATGCAGCCTGTTGCTCCTTTCTCCCAGAAGGCACTGATCCACGCACCTGCTGCCCCCACCATTGTGCCAGGCCAGCTGAAGGGCGGCCCTGCCTATGGCAGCTAGAGGGGCGTAATGCAGAGGATCCTCCTTGTGCGCTTGGCCCACTGGACCTGGCATTACAGGGAGACACTGCAGCTGGGAAGCAGGAGAGAGCTTTTTCCTCCCAACAGGTGCCAGCACTGTGTGCCTGTGACCCACACCATCGCTCCAGATGCTGGGAAGCTCCAGAGGGTAGAGCTTCTGGGCACTAGAGGGCATCACCTACACAAAGTTATTATTCCAGAGTAATCATTAGAAATATGAAACAGCAAAAAATTTTGTACAAACCACAATCCCTCAAACACCAGAAAGAGGGCTCAGTGAAACTGAAAATCACCAGTCTTCTTGATAAAGATTTCAAAATAAAAATCATAAACATGCTCACGGAGCTACAGAAAAATATTCAAGACCTTTCAGGGAGGGACTTCAAGAAAGAGATAGAAAATTTGAAAAATACAGTATCTGAAATGAAACATATAATAGAGGGATTTAAAAGCAGATGAGATGAGGTAGAGGAGACAGTAAATGAAATAGAAATTAGAGAACAGGAATACAAAGAAACCGAGGCACAGAGAGAAAAAAAGGATCTCTAAGAATGAAAGAATAATAAGAGAAATGTATAACCAATCCAAATGGAACAGTATTCATATTAGGGGTACCAGAAGAAGGAGAGAGAAAGGGATAGAAAGTCTCTTCAAGGAAATAATTGCTGAAAACTTCCCCAATCGCAGCAAGGAAATAGTCTCTCAGGCCATGTAAGTGCACAGATTTCCGAACACAAGGGACCCTAGGAAGACAAAACCAAGACCTATAATAATTAAAATGGCAAAGATCAAGTACAAGGGCAGAGCATTAAAAGCATCCAGAGAGAGAAAAAAGATGATGTACAAAGCAAAGCCCATCAGACTATAATCAGACTTCTCAGAAGAAACCTTGCAGGCCAGAAGGGAATGGCATGATATATTTAATGCAATGAAACAGAAGGGCATAGAACCAAGATTCCTGCATCCAGCACGATTATCTTTTAAATTTGAAGCAGGAATTAAATAATTTCCAGATAAGCAAAACTTAAGGGAATTTACCTCCCACAAACTGTTTCTACAGTGTATTCTAAAAGGACTGCTACAGATAGAAGTGCTCCTAAGGCTAAATAGATGTCACCAGAGAAAATAAAACCACAGTAAAGGAAGTAGACCAAGTAATTACTAAGCAAATGCAAAATTAAATCAACTACCCACAGTCAGTCAAGGGATACAGAAAGAGTACATAAAATAACACCTAATATATAGAGTAGAGGAGGAAGAAAAAGAAGAGAGATAAAAAAAAGAATCTTTAGATTGTGTTTGATATAGTGTAATAAGCAAGTTAAGTTAGACTGTTAGATAGTAAAGAAGCTGCCCTTGAACCTTTGATAACCATGAATCTAAAGCCTGAAATGGCAGTAAGTACATATCTGTTGATAATCACCCTAAATGTAAATGGACTGAATGCACCAAACAAAAGACACAGTTACTGAATGGATAAAAAAATAAGACCTGTCTATATGCTGCCTACAAGAGACTCACCTCAAACCCAAAGACATACACAGACTAAAAGTAAAGGGATGGAAAAAGATATTTCATGCATATAAGAGGGAGAAGAAAGCAGGAGTTGCACTACTTATATTAGACAAAATAGACTTCAAAACAAAGTAACAAGAGACAAATAAGGACATTACATAACAACAAAAGGATATAACCATTATAAGTATCTATGACCAACACAGGAGCACCTAAATATGTGAAACAAATACTAACATAATTAAAGGGGGAAATAGAATGCAATGCATTCATTTTAGGAGACTTCAACATACTACTCACTCCAAATGACAGATCAGCCAGAGGTAAAATAAGTAAGGAGACAGAGGCACTGAACAATACATTAGAACAGAAGGACCTAACAGACATCTACAGAACAATGGACCACAAAGCAACAAGATACACATTCTTCTTAAGTGCACATGGAACATTTTCCAGAATAGATCACATACTAAGACACAAAAAAGCCTCAGTAAATTCAGAAAGATTGAAATTGTACCAGCCAGCTTCTCAGACCACAAAGGTATGAAACTAGAAATAAACTATGCAAAGAAAACAAAAAGCCTACAAACACATGGAGGCTTAACAACATGCTCCTAAATAATCAATGGATCAATGACCAGATAAAAATAGAAATCAAGCAAGCTGTGGACACAAATGAAAAGAACAACTCAATACCCCAAAATCTGTGTGACACAGCAAAGGCAGTTCTAAGAGGAAAGTACAGTGCAATACAGGCTTACCTCAAGAAATAAGAGCAATCCCAAATGAACAGTGTAAATTCACAATTAATGAAACTAGAAAAAGAAGAACAAATGAGGCCCCAAAGTCAGTAGAAGGAGGGACATAATAAAGATCAGAGCAGAAATAAATAAATTGAGAAGAATAAAACAATAGAATCAGTGAAACCAGAAGCTGGTTCTTTGAGAAAACAAACAAAATAGATAAACCCCTAGCCAGACTTATCAAGAAAAAAAGAGAGTGTATACACATAAACAGGATAAGAAATGAGAGAGAAAAATCACTGTGGACACCACAGAAATACAGAGAATTATTAGAGAATACTATGAAAAATTATATGCTAACAAATTGAATAACCTAGAAGGATTGGACAACTTTCTAGAAAAATATACCCTTCCAAAACTGATCCAGGAGAAAGAGAAAATCTGAACAGACCAATTACCAGCAATGAATTTGCATTGGTAATCAAAAAACTACCTAAGAACAAAACCCCTGGATGGCTTCACTGCTGAATTTCATCAAACATTTAGAGAAGACCTAACACCTGTCTTAAAGTTTTCCAAAAATTAGAAGAGGAGGGAGTACGTTGAAACTTATTCTATGAGGCCAGCATCACTCTAATACCAAAACCAGGCAAAGACCCCACAAAAAAATAAAATTACAGACCAATATCCCTGATGAACACAGATGCAAAAATATTCAACAAAATATTAGCAAACAGAATTCAAAAATACATCAAAAAGATCATCCATCATGATCAAGTGGGATTTATTCCAGGGATGCAAGGATGGTACAATATTAAAAAATCCATCAATATCATATACCACATCAACAAAAAGGACAAAAATCACATGATCATCTCCATAGATGCTGAAAAAGCATTTTACAAAATTCAACATCAATTCATGGTAAA